ATGCACGTATTATAACGCGTAATATGCCAGAAATGCTATTATTTTGTTAATTATATTTAAAAAGTTGCAAAATTAGATATGGAATAAGTTCAGATAATGACTATTAGACACAGAGTTAAGTAACTTGTTAAATAACACGAAATTATATAGAGAAGCTATTTTCTGCACAACCGCAAAATACATTAAAAACTTTTTATTGTTTTATGAGGCATTTAAACTATTCAATGCACTCTTCTCTGCATTATTTTATATAGATAATTTCATAAAAATTTATTGATACTCTTCTCCACATTATTTTATGTGAATAATTTCGTGAAAAATAAGCACGTTGATTCTAATTAATTGTATCTCGATACCGTGCCATGTTTGTCGTTTTCACAAATAAACGTAGTACTTTACCGTTTTGCGAACGAAATCGATCAGAATTTATCGAGTTTAGAGCATATCTCTCAAAATAGCCGGATTGTCTGCCGAAGCAGCGTATGCGGAAAATTTTTTATTGCCCTAAATAATAATTGTTCCACTTTTTTTCCGTGACACGGTCGATTTTCGTTCTCCGCGGATTACCGCGCGCGTTAAATCAGTCTTAAGTATCCATCGCGCCGATATTGTTTAAAGATACACACAGCGTTCTGGCACAATGGGGAGGAGGAGGGAGGCAAGAGGGTCGTTAGTCGCGGAACAAAAGGAGGGCGGCCTCCACTATCCAGAGCGCGCGACTTACTTGTTGCTTTCGCCGGAGCGCTCTCCTCTCATGAATATCGCGACCAACGAGAGAGAAAGCGACGCGCGAGATGTGGCGCGCGACCCCGCGGACGGACGAGGAGAGAAAACGAGATACTGCGATGAGACGAACGGACGGAGGATGGGGTCAGCGATCCTCGAGAACAGAATTTATCCGAAACCTCGACAATAGGCACCGCAACGGGATCCGCCTTTGTTCGACGTGGAACAATCGACGAAAACGCCCCTCAGAATTCATGAACGCGACAGCGCGTGGGCTTTGATGCACGCCGGCAGGATAGAGCTCGCAAAGCGAGAGCGGAAGTGAGAACAGTTCGATAAACATTGTCCTTTAATTCCGCCAGGCCGCGTTTCATCACATCTAGGCCCCTTGCCGAATATCCTTCCGTAACGCCGCCACCGTGTTTTCTAATTGTTTTAATTGCAATTTTATTTACTCGCGCTCGCTTTGATTGCGCCGGACAGTCGCGCTAGAAACGTTATCAGTGATACGGCGCAATAGTTATTACAATATGAATATATAATCGCGGACGCACCACGTCAATGTGTAGTCTTATTTTACGTATATTGCAGAGAATTATTCGATATAATATATGTTTATTCGTAGATATTATAAAATTGAACCGGTTCTTTTTCTACCATTAGATTTTTAATTTTCCGACTGCACAAATAATTGTTTCCTAAAATACAACGATCATTAAGTAAAGTATTCTTTTCACATGCATAGAAATTGCATTTTCAACAAGATCTGTCGGATCCCATCTCTAAAAGATTAATTGAAATTCCCGTTAAGATAACGTTTAATTAGAGTTTTCTCCAAAAACAAAATTTTGCCTTTTATTTTTTCAAGCCTTAATTCAGCAAAAAAATTTAAACCACTATTTTTCTTCGTTTGTTCTCCGCTTGATTCTCTACTCTGATTGAAGCGATAGTCGGCGGTGCTCGGATACCCTGCACAGCTTCACTGTTATTGCAAAAGCCCAATTCACATAGACTCGTTCGTTCCATTCGGAAATTGAGACATCAAGATCGGATTTTTGAATAAACATTCGCCAAGCGTCGCTCTTTCAGCACAAGTGCTCGCTTAAAGAGCTAGATAAAGTACGTAAGCCTTTCCCAAGTTACGCTCATAGCATCGCGATGGTGAGACTAGAACACAAAGCTGACTCTAATTTTGTCTGTTTCGCTTCTCTGCGTAGCCTTCCTCCTCATTCTCTGTCCGCTTTTCGGACGGCATTAAGCTCGAAATAAACGCGCGAAGATATGTGCTACGCATTTCGATTATCATGCACCGAGCAACTAGCAACCACCTCTCGTCTATTACATAAATAAATGGTAATGAAATCCGGTATTACCTTGTTTATGTGCTGCGTGAGGTACTTAAAAATCTCCAGTGTATTTCTTTTTACTCGCGAGCTTATCTCGCTCATTTATTATCGCGATGTCGCGTTTTCTAGTAATTAAGAACATGAGATTAAATAAATTCGAACAAAGTGGAGCTAATTCGAACAAATTGGAGCAAATTATCTGCTTGAAATTTTATTATATGCAAATTTACTATCTGATAACAATTAATCGGTATTAAATATTCCTCCGCTGCTTTTACGCTCGGCGAATCGATATGTGACGACGTCAAAATAATTTCGCGCAACAAAGATCTGTAACGCGCGTGCAACACTTCCTTACATTCTTAACCGTTCCGTGAGCCATTCCAGGCAAGTACTTAGCGTCGAACAATCGTTAGGCATTCAGCTACTTGATCTTTCTTCAAGCAGAAATTTGCAGCCGCCATTGTCACGGGTTCGAAAGGTATTAACGAAAACTTTAAAATTTCGCGGAAAGTTTACGATGGCACGGTATCAAGTGCGATGCACAATGTCAAGCTAAATTGTAACATCCATTACACGAGAATCAAGGGTGTCGCAACTTTCTTATGCACAACGTATCACTTATAACTGATAATGAAAGCGGACTCTAACATATTACTTTCCACATACTTGATTAAATTTATATTCGGAAGATAGTGCGTGCATTACTTTTCAACGAAATTCTAACAATATTCTAATTTTTGTTGTCAATGTTGAGTAAAGTTTCTGTGAATCTGACACACAGATTGTGTTAGTACAATTCGATGTAATTGTTGTACACTTCTATCAACGTTGCGCCATAGTCTGCCAATCTCGCGGTAATCCATTGATCGAAAATAGCCATTGACGCAGCGATCTGTCTCTTGGTGCAATTAGCCCCTTACGATTCGGCCATTAAATTCCATGCATCGTTATTGCGGACTCTATTGGCCGGGCCGCCGATAATGTTGAAAGCCACACACACGGCTTCTCACGGTCTCACGTTGTAAATTGTCGGCACAGCGCGATATTTTCTCGAGCTAATTAACGCGCGTCCGCAATAATATACCGTCGGTCGCAAAGCGCGCATTCTGTTCGACATATCGCGCGCGCACATTTCCTCGCACGCAACAACGCGGGGACAAATGCGGCGAGTGATAACGAAGTTTCCACAAAAGAGGAACACGATCAACGAAATCCAATGCCCAGTGCTCGACCAACACGGTTTCGTTCCGTCGTGCGCGAGATTAATTAACCGGACACACTTTTTGGATAAAGCCCCGTTTCTCGTTAGTCTTCATTAGCCACACAACAACGACGACAATGCCGCTATTCCCCGATGCGCCGGAATAAACGCGCATTAGAGGGAGCGTCCGACCGATTTTTCGGACCGATCGATTTCACAAAGCCTATTTCCTCTGGTGTCGAATCGCGTGTGCACGAATTCGATTAACTCGTGCATTAATCGACGTCGAAAGAGAAAACGTCGCTCCGGCCAATCTAGGCCGTGCGACAAAGCATACAAAAACCGACGGAACCGCGTTTAATATCTCGTCGCGAATAAACGGACGAGCGCGGCAAGATCACGTACGAAGACACACGCGATAGCGATTAATACAAATAGCGTTGAAAATTCAATTTCTCCGCTTGCGTTAATTAACATCATTCTCCGGGCACTCCCGTGGAAAGCACCCT